GCATTAAGAAGGTTGAGAACCACTGCTATAATGATAAGATGCAGTATTACTAGAAAACCGAGTTTCATGGTACCATACTATAATACCTGAGGCAAAGTTGACCTCAAATTAATGTTTTAAAAATCAATTAAATTTTGATTTTTTTTTACGAATTAGAAACTTTTAGAGATGAAAAAAAGTGACGTCACAATTTTGACCCCCCCCCCTTCCCCCTCCCAAAATGTGTCGCATATTCTCAACCCACCCCCTCTAAGCGTGACGTAATTTGCCAGTGACCCCTTAATGTGAAAATTTACTTATAAAAAAGTTTTAAATAGATATTTAGCAATGATCAAACCTTGATAAATTACTACAAGGGAAAAAACGGCAGAGTCCATTTTGACCCCACTCTCTACTATAAAGAAATAAATCATGTTAAATTCAAGTTTGAATTAATTTATCTACTTAATAACTCAGGGAAATGGACACTCTTGTGAAATGCATTTTAAAAATTGCATTTTGTTTACACATTTTTAATGTGCAAGGTTTTGAACTTTAAAAATCGAATATCTCAAAACAACAAAAATGTGACTCTGCTGTTTTTTCCCTTGTGGTCTTCATATACCACGGCAACGCGTGGGGCCCCCCATACGTGGGGCCTTGGGTGGTCACCCACTTCACCATACCCTAGCGCCGGCCCTGCCATATTTTCTCAAAATGTCCGTACCAGGTGTAAAAATGTGCATCCCCATAAGCCCTAGTAGACTTAAGTTTTCTTAGGACGTAACTTCAGGTTTCTAAAGAAACACATTTTTGTTTTTCTAATTTAAAAGCATAAAGCTGGAAAATGTAGAGTAAAATGTTAACTTTGATTTTTTTTTGGTGGGGTGGGCTGGGTTGGGGGGGGGGGGTTAAAGGAGTCATTATGATGAAATGATCTATTTCTTATTTTTGTGAAAAATTAAGTTATGGAAATACTTTCTTTAAAAAAATAATAATAATTTTGAAAAAAAGGGCTAATAATCTAAACTCCTTGGTGGTTGATAAAAAATAAGTATGTGTTGTGTGGTAAGGGGTCGTCCATTAATTCGTCAACAATTTTTAAAATAAATTTTTACCCCCCCCCCCCCGTCAACAACAGTCAAACTTTCAATGACCCACCACCCCCATTTATTAATTATGTCAACATTTTATACCCCCACCAAACAAAAATGAATTATTAAATAAATAAATGTATGCATACATTTTACTGTGTGCTGATGTAGTTTTATGACACAAACTTGTAGGACAATTTTTTTTATAACATCTTTAGCTTGTTAATCAACAAGTTAAAATGTTTTTACACTTAAATTTTATAATGCAAAATCAATTAAAAGGCTTTTAAAAACTAAACATCATTGAGTGTGGAAGTATAAATATGATTATTGTCAGTATAACTGACACTTGTAGTATAGTTTCTAGCTGTTATCATCTTCCCATGGCCATGGAGTGGGCAGGTGTTGCTCTATTGTACAATGGGCATCAGTATCAGGGACATCAGGGCATTCTCTCACCCCTCATGAATTTGCAGGTCTTATTTAAATTGCTATGTACTGTGGCGCCTAATAAACAAATTAACAAGCCGACCAAGTTATGGTTTTTTCCCATCCCTCCCCCCCCCCTGAAAAAAACTCTGAAATGATGCCCCTGATGGGCATAGGCTACGGTAGTTGATCTATCATTTTCATCTGCATTATATGATAATCATATTAGAAAAGAAAATGCGATACTTAACTTGAGAAAAAGAAATCTAACAAATCACGTGACTTTTTGTGTCACATGATTTTTGTTGAACGTCTTTAATTCTTTATCAGTCAAGTGACTATTCCTTAACTACTATACAAAATATTCGTTAAATAATTGTGTAATCTCTAAATTATATTTTGCATATCGTGGTTAGAGATAATACATTTGTTAGACTATATATATAAAACGTATCTGCTGTTGAATGACGTTATTGTGAGAAGAAATCATGTCTCTGCTAAGAAATTACATAATATCGGTTTTTGTGCTTCTTGGACTTTTTTCGACCTCGCTATCGCATGTTGTACAAAGTAAAGCTCAGGCAAATTGCGGCTATGAGGTAATTATAGTTTAGTAATATTAATTTATGAAGATTATATATGAAATGACACCGTGGGCTCGACATCAATCGAGTGTTTCAAGGCTACCCTGGCACCTGCTAGGCATTGTGATCATTGTCATTGTTATTAGTATTAGTAACATATAATTATACAGCTTGGGCTTGATGGACTGTCACATCTATATTAGTAAATTGCAAGAAATAATTTTAAAATATTAAGGAAAAAAGGGGAACAAAATATCAGACAAAAGAATAAACATGTTGTTCTGGCTGAAATAAACAATTGACTGACAGCTTTCACCACATGGTTGTTACTTTTTATCTTTTTTCAGTCATTACATTATAATTATATGTTTGTTCAGTGAAGTAACAAACTCAAGGGAAATAAAAATGTATTTTAGTAGATATAGTGAGTTTTATGCTCATGGGGAGTTGCTCATCTCCCATCAGGTGTCTCCTCAGGCGGCATTTAGGGTAACGGCACCAGATACGGCATTATAAGAAAATAAAATACCCAGGGCAGACCAAAGCCAACTATCGGAAAGGAAAGTCTACATGGCAAGAGCTATGTCAGTGGAGCATGTCTTATAAACTGCACTACAGGAAAATGAATTACCATCAATAGCACAATATTTCATAGAAGAAAGAAGCAATGCTAATAATGTTGCTAAAGGAGACAATAACAGCACAAATAATATTTAATGAAACAAGAAGGGTGGCCACCAGAATGTGTAGAAAGAAAAAAAGGTGATTGGGAAAGGTATAAAACATGAGATATTGAAGAGTTGGCAAAGAAAGAGATGTGAAGGAAATGTATCTAGAGATAAAGCTTGAAAAAAAAAGGCTTTCAAGCATGATCACACATGTGAAAATAAAAATAGATATAAAACTGATCACAGAGAGCAGTAGGGTACTAAAAAGATAGACACAACTCTTTAAAGAAATGTAAATGACGCATATGGAGGAGCCAATGAGGATTAAGAACTACCACAAAAAAGGACCGAACCCATTTGTCAGCCAACTAACACTGAATATTAGATCTTATCACTGTAGAAATAATACAACTAAGTGGAAATGAACTGTATAGGCTAATACATGAACTCGTATCCAGAATCTGGCTGGAGGAAGAAAGGCTAAAAGAATGGGATACTGTGCTCATGATGCCAATACGCAAGAAAGGATCTAAGGTGGATTGCCTAAATTATAGAGGAATCACCCTACTTAACGTAACTTAAACATCCTGTCTAAAATAATATCAAGAAAAAGTGAAAGGTATAGTTAAAATATCCTAGGGAATTAGCAATTAACAACAGATCATATCTTTACTATCAAGATATGCTACAAATACAGCATAAACATACACCAAATATATGTGGACTTCAAAACTGCTTTTGATAGCATAGGCAGGAATTATCTATATGATGCTCTACTGGAACTTTGAGTCCCTAAAAAATTACCCGGCTCATACAATGACGATGGCTAACTCTTAAAGTAGACTCAAAGTACAGGGAGAGTACTCCAGAAAATTCTTGATTAATCAGGGCCTCGGACAAGGAGGTACACTGTCATGTACCAGTATCCCGTTCAACATAAATTTAGAAAAAGTTATGAGAAGCATACGGGAGAGCACCAGTGGAGCCACTACAAACTGCTTCCAGAGAAGCATCACAGAACTACAAACATCAGAACTTCATATAATCAACCATGGCAGTATCTGGAGTATGCGGATGACCAAGCTCTACTGGGCAGAAACAGCATTGATATAATTAAAGCATTCAAGGAACTTGAAGATGCCTCAGTTAAAGCTGGTCTTGAGGTATATGAAATTTAGACAAATAATGTGATTATGTCTCTAAACACATACTGGTGACAACATTAAATTAGACAAATCTTTGAGAGAGTGCATACTTTTAAACAACTGGGAGCCACTGTAAATTAGCACAATGAAATAATTGACAGTCAACAATTATTTTTTCAGCCTACAAAAGTAAATGGTAGCAAATACCTCTCTCCCACATTAAAAACAAATGAGGTATCAGTTAGGCCAAACAATCCATATCTTAGCATCAGCTTTTAGTTAGTGAAATTATCATCTGCAGTAATTGAATTATTTACATTGTAAAATATATAATAATATTCAGTTTTTGATGAAAGATGAAATCATGACAATATTTTCAAATTTTATGAACAAAAATTACAAATCGCAGAATTACCTCTTCATAAAAGCAATTCATATTCACTTTTCCCATGGGAATTATATGTTTACTGTTAATGGCATAATTTTATAAACATGGGGCAGTCCATAAAGTATGTCATGCTTTTTTTTTTACAATGTTTACACACACACCCCCTCGTGTCACAAATCTCAGTGCGCCCTTAAAGTAGGTCACACGTCTACACTAAATAATTGTTAGTGTGATGTCATTTATTGATGGCCTTCGTGACGAAAGTTCATTGAGATTTAAAATTCCATGTGGCATTATAATTAATATACACTCTCAGAATGCATCCAATCACAATAGAAATTAAAACAGCACCGTCAATTTCATGTATGATTTTTAAAAAAATGGTCAAACTTTCTTAGACCCCCTCTTCTGCTCTGCAGCCTAACTATGGACCGTCCCCATGACATAGCTTCAATTTTCATGCTAAAAGTTTAATTACAGTCCTATATTTTCTAAAAAATCAAAATTACATACTTGTTTGAATGTGTCTGTTGTAAGTTGTATGCTTGTAACACTGTATCAAACCTTTGAATAAAAGGCCAAAGTCAGGATTACATTCTATTTAATTTAGTATTAAATTATATTTTTAAAATGTATTTCAGAGCTGTAATCAAGAAAAGCCGGGTATGATAAATGTTCATTTAGTCCCTCACACTCATGATGACGTAGGGTGGCTTGTCACTGTTGACCAGTATTATTACAAAGGTGAGCCTAGGAGTGAGGTTGGAAAAATAAGAATGGGATTTAAATTAATTATTTTTTTCAGCATTGCAATTTTCCACTATTTATAGAATAGTATGGATTTGATTAACTTTTTAAATTATCCATAATTTATCTTTATAATACTATAACAATGGGTGATATACTGAAGCATCTACAAGCAGTATTTTTTCCCCTTGAACAAAAAAACAATTGCTTACTTATTCATATCTATTCATTATTACCCCAAACATAAAAATTTCTGTATGTTCAATCACAAAATATTGCTTGCATTGTGAGTTCTGAGGCCCATTATTATGAAAATAATAGTTATATTCCATAAAAAAAATTATGGAATCGTCTGAAAAACATTTTTATTAATCTGAAAATTCAATAATGTTTAGATAATTTATATTTCATAAGCTTGAGTATAAAAAATCTGATTTCTCACAAAAACACCTCTGTGCAATTTATAAACATAAAATGAATACCAAATAGACAGAAGAGTTTCCTGTCCCAATATATGTATTCTTACCCAATATATGGGATAGGTGAATAATATTGCCCTCATCTTTATATTAATCCAGTGACCTCGACTCATATACTCCCCCAGGAAAGAATCTTTTGTAGTTTACTGCATCTAAGTTTGCCTTTCTGGCTTCAGTACTTAACGCACTTCCAAGCAACAGAATTTTATAGTTACAGCCGTCAACCTAAGGAAAAGCTTGGCAAACACATGCAATTGCGTCCAATCAAAGTGTTCGTGGACACTAATATATTAATTGTTATCTAGATAACTTTCATTTAAAAAATATTTTTTTCAAATTAGCATTTGTGTTCCTTTATAATTAATACAATTGAACTGTTGTAAAATAAATATATTAAAAACAAACAAAGCCTCGTTTTTGATAGCCAAAAATTGTTTTAAGAATTAAAGGGGATTTATGCATATTATGAAAATGAAAGGTGTTTTAAAAATTGCCTCTCTTTAAAAAAACAAAAATTTGTGTTCAAGAACTTTTTATTTTTATAAAAGGGGACCTAACTGCCTATTCTTAAAATTTAATGTTCTTTCAAAGGTTGTTTTGCCATACATCCATGCCTAGTGAATTTTTAGTTGTGATACTTATATACTCCTCTAAATTCACCATTTATACATATTCTGCAGCCGTGCAATTCATCCTTGATGGAGTCATTCCTGAACTTGCTGCAGATCCAAGCAAGCGGTTCATTTATGTGGAGATAGCTTTCTTTTCAAGATGGTTTAATGAACAAGATGATGCCACTAGGCACTTGGTACAGAAACTTGTTGATGAAGGTATGTAAATTAGGGCAAAGCTTTAGTAGGAGGCTGGGATCAAAATGTGCATAGTACAGAAATTTGTTGATGAAGGTTTGTAAATTAGGGCAAAGCTTTAGTAGGAGGCTGGGATCAAAATGTGCATTAAAAAAAAATTTAATTATAGAAAAATTGGGAATAGTTTGGTGTAATTATTTCAAATTAAATTCAAGAATAGTATTCTTAGATGTAAACGTCAAATAAATACTGCCTATTTAAATCAATGTCTGATTTTCAAACCATGTGTGGAGCAGATATTGTAATGTTAACACTTAGAGGCAAGAGCTGAGTTAAAAATAAGCTAACATAACAAGGTCCCACTCAAGACTCTTTCAGGAAGTTAATTTTGATTTTTAGAGCAGTTTCTTTATGTTTTCCATTTTTTTTTTTTACATTTGACTTATTATTTATTATTAAAAATGCACTAACATTTTTTTTTCAATATCGAACAAAATGCTTAGGATATTTTTTCTTGTGTGAACAGGCAGGCTGGAGTTTATCCTAGGTGGCTGGTGTATGAACGATGAGGCTACTCCACACTACACGGCCATGCTTGACCAGCATAAAATTGGCTTTGAATATCTTCGTAACAATTTTGGAGACTGTGCTCGTCCCAAGATTGGTTGGCAGATTGATCCTTTTGGTCATTCCAGAGAACAAGCATCTATGTTTGCACAGGTATTATAATAACTAACTTAAAACTATCTGCCAAGGTTTGTCTTAATGGTATTGTTTTCTTCTAGACTACTAAGCATTTTGGTGTTCTCAGAGAGTATGACACATTTGCATAACATTAAGTCTGTCATTTTTTTTTTTCTTTTTACCCAGATGAGCATCATTTTTTCATGCCCACACTTTTGTGTAAGCTGAACAGCACAGTAACTGATATATTCCATGCAAAATTGCACTACCAGATTCTAATTGATTCTGCCATATCGTTTTGATACTGTTTTCTAATCATTGCGTCTTTGCTGCATATCATTGTAAATAAGTGTTCATTTTTCTGAGGAAATTATTATCTTATTCCGTGGTTTGTATTTGATGATTTATTTTTTTCCTCTTTACAGTTTGGGTTTGATGGATTTTTCTTTGGTCGATTGGATTACCAAGATAAGGACAAGAGACTGAAAGACAAGAACATGGAATTTCTGTGGCGAGGAAGTCCCAATAATTTAGGTAAATCCAGCTGTAATTGTATAGACCTGATTAAATGAAAAAATAAATTATTCAAGACAGAATTGTTTAACAGCTACTTTAAATATTAAAATAATGTTATTTAGACTGGAAACTCTCATATCAATTTGTGGATTTAAGTAAGAGATGAAAATGGATGCTCATATGAGTGTCCAACTGCTAACATTTACATTGATGAACATTCTTTCATGGGGCAAGTGGTATGTGAATTTAATTAAGTAAATGAAATACGATGACTGTCAGTTAAATTATCGAGTGCCTTAGAGTTAGAAGAATGATAAATTATTCAACCGTTATTCTTATTCATGCATGATGAAGTTCTTTAAGTGAAAGGCCAACTCAATTTGCTGGTATTTGTTGGCCTAATTTTTCAATGAATATTTAAGAAACGTAACAATGTATTCCCTTTCTTGACAATAATCTCATCAACAGGCACAGATGGGACAATATTTACTGGGGTCTTGCCAAACGGTTACAATCCTCCTGGCAATTATTGCTTTGATATCACATGCCTTGATTTTAACCCACTTATTCAGGTAACCAAATTAAAATTAGTCACCCAAGATGGAGGCATGCTGCTGAGCACTTTGCTGTCTTTGTTCTTTTGTCATTTCTTTGCTTGTTTTATGCTTTCAACACACATTTATTTTTTTTACAAATTTTTTATTTAAATTTGCACGCCTTAGTACCAAGAAAGCGGATTCTTCTAGAGATCCTTCTATAGCATGTTTATTTATAGCTCTGTTTATTACATTGTTGCTTTTCCTTACTACTAACAGCATGCAAACACACCTGACTACTGACAGCATGCAAAAACATCTTACTACTGAAAGCATGCAAAAACACCTTACTACTGACAGCATGCAAAAACACCTTACTACTAACAGCATTCTAGCACACACTCAATTTATTAATTCTTTTGTTCTCATCATATGCAGATAAAATTATACATTAGAATGTTTCTATCAAATTAAGTCAAGCAATGGTGTCAAGGCTATAAGAAAGTCAAATCAAAAGTTAATTATATTAATCATCAGATAGTGTTAGATAACATTTAAAGTTCTTTGAACTTAAGGCCTAATTTATTTTTCAAGCACCATAGTTATATGCTGATTACTACTAGTTATATAGCTCATAGCTATATATCTTCTAATTGCAAGAACCAGTGCAACCTATATCAAAATATATGGACCAGGAGTGGTATCGGCACTCAAACTAAAATAAAAAATATACAAGGCAGCTGGGCTCCCTACGCTTTTATTGGCCTGTGAAACATAAACAGTATATCATGGCCATGCAAGAAAGTGAAACCACTTTAATAAAACAAGCCTAAAATAAAATCCCCTCCAGCTAATGACAGGGTTCCAAAAACTTGAGGTATTCGCTCACGCAGGTCTCCCCAGCATCTTTACCATTTTAATGTATTCCTGGCCCGGGACATGCTGTGAGAATGTCAGATGAACGCCTGCCCAAAACATTTTATTTTGAGCTTGAGCAGGATAGGCAGTGTGCTGGTGGGCAGAAGAATAGTTTAAAGACAAGCCTCGCTGAAGTGTTGATAGAAACCTAGACACATGAAAAGAATCGACAAAATATCGAGCATCTTGGCGTCTCTCTTTACACAAAAGGCTCCATACAACATGAATCCAACGGAGCAGCGGCTGCAGAGCACCATGCATGTGTCAAAAAGCCCCAGGTTAGCTCCGCCCCTGGAGATGTTCCATCAATCCCTGCACTTACCGCACAAGAACATTTTGTGCCATCTGCGCGCCAACAACCCAATTCATAACTGGCACGAATGCTATGATTAAAATGCTCACGGTCAATCACAACCGATGAACTATATATACATGTATATATCTGCAGGAAAGGGAATCATTATCCTGATGGTTTAATATAAGTCTGATCAAAGACAGTTGTCCCCCTAAAAAAACTGATGAAAGACAGGTGTCCCCCTAAATAAAAGTGATCAAAGACAGGTGTCCAACTAAAAAAGAATGATCAAAGACAGGTGTCCCTCTAAACCATGACAAAGAAGTTTAATGTTGGAGTTCAAAGCTTTTAATACAAATCTACAATTTTCATTTATATCTGTATTTTCTATTTAGACAGACTACTGGATAACTGAGTTTCTACTCTAGGATCTGCATACATTTTTCAGTTGAATTCATGATTCATTTTTATTTTATCTTCAGACTTTCCACAGTTTTTTCAGATTTCTTAACCATACTGTGCTATCTTTTGTTTTGCACTCGCAGCTGGTGAATGTTATTCCTTTTACCATTGTCTGTTTTCTGGTCAAGTACTTTTGTCTTACATGTCTACATCCTTTGGTCTCAATCATAGATAACATCACGCCACACTGAAAGGGTAACTTGTTATTTTCACTGTAGATAGTTAATCTCTATAGGTGATCTTTGGAATGTTGATCTGCATATGGCCTGATTGACTTTAGTATCATTTTAAATAACGAAAACTCCATCAAGACAACTTATGGAATTCTTCACTCATATTACAAAGAAATCCAAATCCTGTTAAAAATATAAGTCATTATTTTTTAAATATAAATAACTTTAAGATTTATGCATGAAGTCCCATGCTTTCAGTCATGTTTTAAGGGCTAAATGTGAAATTTAACCTTTATTAATCAGCTCTTTCATCTCTCTGTTACTAAGATGATCTGAATTTTACCCTGAAAGCTATTGTGCAATTGTTTGACTGCAAAATTTATTAATGTTGATTGATTTTTTTGGTTCTATTCAACAAGAGTTCTGTCAATTCCATAGTCTTTATTTCAAGGTAAAAGAGGTCCATGCACCATTGAATACATTGTTTGATTCACTAACTCACCAGTTTCTCATGGCATCAGGACGTTTGAACTATTTTTGTTAACCCTTCCTTTTTTAATTTTTTTTTTCACCCTATATAGGTCCCGATGGGGATATCTTTACAGGTGCATTATATAATGGGTATGGGCCTCCTGGAGGCTACTGCTTTGACATTTCGTGTGATCCCAATATGATCAAGGTCAGCTAAGTAAAATGTCCATCTCCTGAAGGAAATTCATCCTTTTACCTGTTTTCCACATACCAGTTCCAGGAAATCAATCACACCAGTTCCAGGAAATCAAGCACACCAGTTCCCCATTCCCTCATCCACTTCTTCTCAGAGTGTTTTACTTTTTCCCGAGGTTGTATTATTTGAACCTATCATGCCCTAAATCTCCATAAATCTGCATTTATTATTAGGCTTGTGAAATTATGCTATGGAATTTGATATATCCGTGACCAAGAAGTGATTAGTACTTACTTGAAAATTATTTTTTGACACTTAAGTTGAATCAGACAGTTTCTAACCAATCCTGTTAATTTAAAGATGAGTTTACAGTGTATTTGACATACTCATTTCTTTTCACAAATGTGCTTGACATTCATTATTATCACATAAATTATATCTCTTACCTCTAGCAATGTTTGTGCTGTTCCATAGCCTTAGTTGCAAGAAAAAATGCATTTATTATTTTATTTAGCAGCTTTCATCTGCTTTGCTTGGTAATCTCATTATCCATTAAAAAATCGTCTAAAATTAACAGCAAATTAAATGTCTTAAAAATATTCTTCAAATAATTTGTCATAAAATAATAATAAAAGTAATGTGATGCAATTAATTTTCAAAAATGTATGAAATAACATCAATGCAGACTGGCTTGTAAAATTTACATGCTAATCTTATGACTATTACTAGAGTCAGTGATATTGACTGTAAATTTGATAGATGTATTCATGTATAGTGTCTTATATGAGAGATGAACATTTGCTTACAGTAAAATTTATTTCCCGCTTCGTTTTTTCCATTCCATTCTGGTGCCATGTTAGTGCCTTTTCCTTGTTAACCTGAAAATGTAAAAAGTGTCGATTTAAAAACAAAATAACTCCTGTTTGATTTTAATTAAATTCAATTCTAGCTAATTTATACACTTTTTCTTGATAAAATTAAGCAGTTAATATGGTGATCAAATGAATAAGAACCCTGACCTGACAGCTTACAATTTGTTTTAAAATTTGATTTGGTATTTACAGGATGATCCTCGTCTACATGACTACAATGTGGAACAGATGGTCGATGGATTCATCAACACTGCTCATGATCAGGTAAGAAATCGACTCAGTAATTTTGTATTTATTTACATCTTGACTCAGTATTTGTTGTAGAAATGATGGTGCTTGTTGAAAAAACAGCTTTAGTCAGCTTTCTCCTGAAAATAATTAACATTTTTACATAAATTTGATTTCAAATAATTTTGATGTTATCATAGTATACTTAAAATACATTATCAATTACCCACTTTATTTAAAAAAAATTAATTTGATAGCTAGATCTATGCGTTTGTTAGGAATATGTCTAATAAAGGAAAGTGCTTCCAATAGATGATTTTGAATTGTTAAACACCACCAATATTTGCCCCCCCCCCCAACCCCATCCCTCCAATTCATCAGAGCACAATACTACATCACATAACATACCTTAAACCAAAGCTTTTAAGATTTTAAAACATAAACATATCTCACCAAGTACAGTTTTTGTTTGAATATATCTGAAGTTAACCATTGTGGCAAAAAATTTCTTTACAGACATTAGATGGTAGATCTTTTGGCCAAGGAGTATATGGGGCAACACTAGCTAAGATGGTGATGGGCTGGGGGTAAGGACTGTAGAAAGAGCCCCCAACTTTGGAACTAAGTCACCTAGTTAGACAATATTAATTGATTTATTTTGCAGGGAAAACAAATTTCACATAATTATGATAATATTAAACTATCATTACCATGAAAGAGGAGATTGTGATTATCATGCACTTTTGCAGGCTAGGGCCTTCAGAACCAACCATTTAATCATGACCATGGGTTCAGATTTCAACTATGTCCAGGCACACATGTTTTTCAAAGAGATGGACAAACTCATTACCTATGTTAATGCCAGGGTGAGTGGCCTGTCTCAATTCATTTATTATAACTATTTTATATTCAGCATGGCAGAACGGTTTTAATATCTATCATTTGTTGATTTTAAATCTATAACTTAAACTAAAAGATCTTGAAAAAAATATATCTTCAGCTAAATGATGTTATCATTATATATTTTTGCCTTGCTTATCTCCCCACACTTGTTGGTGAATTCATGTTTTTTTCAATCCATCTCTTTTGCCAATATTTTTATTTTCTTTGATGCAAAATTTATTTCCCACTCCTGAATTTTATCCAATGTCAAGATCAGTCAGTTGTAAATTAATGTTAATTACAAACAGCATGGTTTAAAAAAAAATAATAATAAATTATCTCCTTTTGAAATATAAAACTGATCGGTTCTGTTATTGTTTCACTCAACAGCAAGCTGTTGGTAGCAACATCAATGTACTCTACTCCACACCATCATGCTACCTGAAACAGTTGAACAATGATAATCTCACCTGGACCACTAAGGATGATGACTTTTTCCCATACGCTGACAGAGAGCATGGTTTCTGGACCGGGTACTTCACAAGCCGTGCCGCACTTAAACGTTACGTTCGGGTGGTCAACAGTTTCTTCCAGGTAAACTGCGAACATATTTCTTTCTTTCTAGCAGGTTTCTAAGCAGGGATCCTAAACATTTGAAGGTTTTTTATTTCTTTTAAATCTGTTGGATTTTCATATCTTTGTTTTTATGTATGTCGAGATAGCCTAGGCCTGCTGATATTTAATCCTATTAACTATTACAGAAATTGGTGGTCGAAGTCTATTTTACTCATGAATAACTGGCTTACTGGGCTAACGAGTCCATTCTGTTCAGAATCCCAGGGAAAATAAGACTTATATATTCTCATTAAAGATATGGTGGATTCAGAATGACAGCATGGATTGCACCTTTTTTAAATATTTATTTTGTTATAAATGCAATGGTGATTTGTATCTGCAGATTAAATTACTGGAGGGGGGGGGGGGGTTCTCACATTTTTGGAATGTTGTACAACTCAAATGTTCATCTTAAAATTCACTGTCAGCATATTTTGTTATTCAGACTTGGGATGGAATGTAAAGCTTTATAAATTTGTATTTTTTTTCTGATTTTTTCAACTGACTTTAGTGATTTTAACATTTTCCTCTTAGTCTGTGAAGCAGATTGCATCCCTTGCGAAACTGGACAACAGCTACAACAGTGGTGTCCAGCTCCAACATTTGGGTGAGTCACTCAAGATATTTCTTTTGGATACTGTGACTTGTTAGAGCCATAGTAAGTAGAGGATAAATTCCTACTGGTCTTAGAAACTGAATGTTGTTGGTCACAGACAGTTTTGTGGCTTCCTTTTTTTTTTTGGTCTCTAAATTAAGGAAATGTTTTTAAGGAATGTGGAAACTAAGGTTCTCCATCTTTTAGATATGTTTCATTGGAATCAAGCAAGAGAAGTTATTTCCAATAAATGAACTGATTCTCTGAGAAGATCGGTTAATCAGAGCCAAACGCTCACTGAACACTGATTTTACCAGTGACAATCCCATAAATAATTACACCTGAAACAATAGCAATTGGTTCACTGGGCCTCGGTGTAACACAGTGCAGTATAAACAATCTTTCTTCCCACGCACAATAATTGCTTGGAACCACCTGGACGATGCCGCTGTGGACTTGACATCGGTCAAAAGCTTCAAGGCTGCCCTGGCATCTGCGGGGAGTTGTTGGAATAGCAACATCGCTTCCCCAACGGTTGCACAGATGCCAGTATATGGATGCAGCAACGAACAGAAGATCGTGGCCACATGAGTGAAAAAAAATTGAACTGTTCAGCTGTCTTGTAAAAAATCCATAATTATCACCTATATGATATCATGGGTGTTCATTAGTAATTTTTAAAGGGTGGATGCCACATGTACACAAATGATGGGCAGTTGTACACACTTGAAGTTAAAAATGAAAACACATACTATCCTGAAGTTGTTGCTCAAACTGACTCCACCTTGATTCATTTCATTACACCTTTAAATCACTTTTTTTTTTTTTTTTCTTTGTTTCTTCACACAGCCGAAGTGTTGGGTGTGGCTCAACATCATGATGCTGTCAGGTAATAGTTTATTCAAATAAAATATTTATTTTCAGTTTTCTTTTTTCTTGATCAGCACCATATAGAAAGTGCATTTTCTTTGATCAAATAAATTGATATTATTTTCTCATATTTTCAATGTAACTAGTTTAGAAACTAAATGTCAAAACAGTTTTATTATACGGAGCAGAAACTTGGAGAACAACAGCGAGCATTACGCAGAAAGTACAGACCTTCATAAATACATGCCTAGAAAGATCCTGAACATCAAATGGCCAAATACCATCACTAACAAAGATCTACTAGAAAGGACTTACCAGGTGCCTATTGATGAAGACATCATAAAGAAAAGATGGAGCAGGATGGGGCATATTCGCCGAAAACCCCCATATATCATCACCAGTCACCAGACAATGGCTAACATGGAATCAGCAGGGAAAAAGAAAGAGAGCAAGGCCAAAGAATACATGGAGATACGAGCTAGAGGCAGACACACAAAATATGGGATGCACCTGGAAACAATTGGAAAGGAAAGCACTGGACCATGATGAATGGAAAATTCTTGTGGATGGCCTATGCTCCAGACGGGCATAAGAAGAAGTTAAGAAACTAACACCAATAAAGAATTACATCCATCAGTTTATATGTTTGACCACTGTCAAGGTGATGGAATCAGCGATTCTGTGTGTATTATGATTTGTGACTAATAGGGGTAATGTTAACGAGTGTCAACTGTTTTCAAGTCATGGAGGGATGCGTAAATTTTGGATGACAAAAGGACAGACAACGATTTGAGCGGGAGAGTGAGTGTGTGCGATAGAGCGAGCGACAGAGGGACTATTATTTTAGATAGATTCGCTGTGAAATGTTCGGGCTGAGGAGAATATTGTTATGCATATGGATTCAACCTCAAGATGAACCAGATTGATATTTTAGTGCTGTCAAAATAAAACACATCATGTACCATGAGCCTTTAGTGTTTGAATCAAGCTAGTCCGTATGACCAAGGAGTACATACAATGGAAATAGTCAACAGCATCATAAGATATTTAGACACAATATATTTGACATATTTGTATGTATTATTTCCATAGTTTGAATGAGTGCTTAATTCAATAAGGATAACTTTTATTGATTATCCTCTCCTTATCTTTATATAAATCATTTATTGCTTGTCAACTTTTAAGTGGAACTGAGAAGCAAGCCGTGGCATTCGATTACGCTGAGCGCTTGGCTGATGGTGTCAATGGTGCACAGGTAAATCGCTAGCTTTTTCCTTTTAAAATAATTTGTTCGGTTTCTTGTTAAGCTTTAAAATATCAAATTTATACTTAATCAATAATAAGTGCATGGAAATATAATGCTGGCCCATATAATGTAAAAAAAGACAGTTTTATAACTTGCATCAGAAAAGGTAATTTACATTTATTTCAATTAATTGTCAAATTTTACACAGAATGTAGTGCAAGATGCGTACACTATCTGGATGTCGAGTGGCAGTGAGAGCGCACCCCAGCAAGTGTTCTGCCAGTCTCTGAACATCAGCATTTGCAATGTGTCTCAGAATTCCAACAATGTAAGCTTAAACCTAATTCACGGTGCTGCATTTAAAACTTAAGTTCAACTATTTCTTACACTGAGTGCTACATTTTACACTGATGATTTTAATATATGACTGGTAACATAACTGATTTCTTAAAATAGTGCGTTAGCTGCTCTTAAGTAGAAGAAGAAATAATAACTTGGCCCATAACTTAAAATACTATCACGTAGTAATAAATTTTAGTTGATGACTTGAAGGATTTTTCTTATGTAGAAACAAGGCTCTAATTTATAAAAGTTTACCATGTCAATCTCAAGGAAACAAAAAAACTTAACACTAGATGAACTATTTATATGAAAACCCTGTCATTTCATTATAACTCTCATTACTGGACTTTTAATTATTAAACATATTAAAATATCTCTAGTATTTGATGAATTCAGGAAAAACATTTAAAAAATGTGAACAATAACATAAAAATATGTAAAAGAATAATGTAAAAAGAAATTAATGTCCTCCATGTGTATTTTTTACCTGGCTCAGTTTCAAGTGACATTCTACAACCCACTTGTTCACCCAGTCTCCTACACTGCAAGACTGCCAGTGCCTGGAACTCGATATGTAGTGTACAAGGAAGATGGTGCTACAACAGTTACAAGTGATGTAAGTGAGGGCCAGTTGTTGGATTAATTATTTCCATGTGAAATTACCTGTAGATAATTTTTTTGAGTCTTGTAAGTAAAAATGACTTTGGTGGTAGGCAAGTGTAAGCTCCCTTAGCCTTGTTTAAATGAATATGTAAGCATATGTAAGCTCCTTTGCCATGTTTAAATCAATGCATAATGTCAGATTTAATTAAGAAATAGTGCCATGTAAGTGAGTGAACTAGTTCCATATAAGTGAGTGAACTAGTGCCATATAAGTGAGTGAACTTATGCCTTATACATGAGCTCTGAAGGTTTGCAAATTTAATTATGAATTTTAAAGTTGCACAAATGTTTCCTCATTCCAGGTCCTGCCAATTCCATCCAGTGCATTGGACTTAAAGTCGCATAAGACGGGAGCTACCGTTAATCAGTTGGTGTTTCTGGCTCAAGTTCCAGCGCTAGGTTATGTGACCTACTTTGTCAAAACCCAGTCCAAAAACAGTGAGAGTATTTCAGTTTAAGTGTATGCTTGGCATTAAAATTTGATGTAGCTGACGTTGGGAGGGCCTCAAAGATTTTAATAATTATTTTACAATTTGGTCTTAACTGTTTGTGGCCAGAACAAAATAACTGCCATATTACATTTAATTTCAAACAATTTTATTATTTTTTTAATGGTATAAAATAAAAATGGTTTATTTTCACTCAAAGAAGAAAAACTCTATTTACACAAATAACAACTGTCTCATCAGAGCCTTTAACATTCAAGACTGAGATGAATACTGAACCTGTGGCAGAGCCTAATGACAATGTCATCTCTGGCAAGGTAATGAATTTTTTAAAATAAATAATAATGATTTATAATATACTTTTTAAAAATTATTTTTAAGATAATCAACATTTGTTGCATTACATTAAAATTGATAAAGGTTGCCTTCATGAGAGAATATGTTTTAGTTGAACTGAGATCTCATCATTTGCTTTAGTATGTCATCTCTTAGAACAGCGGTTCTCAACCTGTGGGTTGCGACCCCTTTGGGGGTCGAACGACTCTTTCACAAGGGTGGCCTATTTCCAATCTGAAAAAACATATACTCTACAGTTATGAAGTAGCAATGAAAATAAGTTTGTGGTTTGGGGTTGACACAACATGAGGTACTGTATTAAAGGATCGCGGCATTAGGAAGGTTGAGAACCACTGTCCTAGAACATTGCACATTCTCTTTTTTAATGCAATCTGCAATTTTTATAGAGAAGTTTAAAAACAAATTATGTCAGGACAGTTAATTGTTGTAATATTCCAACAACCGCTTTTGTTAAGTTATAAAAGATGTCATACGTTTTATAAAGATCAATTAAATGTTTTTTGTTTAGACGATGAAATAGCTCAAAAATATTAATTAATAAAATAGTATTTTCCATTTCCCGCCCATCACCTTTCAATATCACATGAAAGGTTAAAGAGCATTTTAAAAAAGAAATGGAAATGTTATCTATAACTTAAATTTTTCCTATACAGTATGTGCAAGTGACCTTTGACAGCTCAGGCAACCTGAAATCCATCACCAACCGGACCACTGGGGTCACTGTGCCCCTCCTGCAGAACATCCTGTACTATCAAGGTTACACTGGCAACAACAGCGGTGGGGTCAACCAGGCGTCGGGTGCCTACATCTTCAGACCAACTTCAAATACACCTTCCCAAGTTCCGCTGAAAACATGGGGCGGCATTGTCAGAGTGAGTTCACATCTGATACAGTTCATGTGGGAATTATAAAAAAATAAATTGAGAGAAAAATCAAATGCATTTTAGCTGAATTTGACATTTTTAAATAGCTGTAGGCAGTCCGACATTGAATCCTTGTCTTGTGCATTATCCTGTAGCAGGTGCACTGTATGATAATCTCTGTTGCCCAGGCAGGACCTGAGTTCCGGTGCACCTAGTTTTTGTCATGTTAGATTTTCATTGTTGCTATGTCAGGACAGTACTGTAAAAAGATTTTTCTCTTCAAAATGTCAGGGTGCAGTTGTCCAGGAAGCTTATCAACAATTCTCTGACTGGGTTAGTCAGGTGATTCGTGTGTACCAGGATAAGCCCTATGTGGAGGTGGAATGGACAGTTGGGCCCATTCCTTTAAGGTAGGGATTTTTCTTCTTCCAATGTTGTACAATAACTATGCAACAATACACCAGGTTTTTGTTATTGATTAGTTTCCCTTGGGTTTATCAGTATTATTATGATATTACTATGTGTTTGGATCTGTTGCTCATTATTTTCTTTGTCATTTGTGTTATTAGTGTTAACCTTACTTTTATTATAATAACTGTTGCATTGTAACCCTGAAGCTGATTTTATTTTTTACCTAACATTTTACACAAACATATTACGCCTTTAAGAAAAGAAATATAAGCAAAACCGTTGGTACCTTTATTCTCTCAAAATGATTTATTCATGTCACTAATTCTTTTTCAGCTGCAAAGGCTTGAATTAATTTTATTGCCTTAGTTCAAAAAATTTATTTTTTAAAGCCATGAATTATGTCCCTTTGTCTACTATATTTTGACAGCGATAACATTGGAAAAGAAGTTGTCCTTCGCTACTCACTGCCAGGCTGGGGGAATGCAGGTGTATTTTACACAGATGCCAATGGTAGAGAGGTTCTGGAGAGGAAGTAAGATTTTGTTTTTCAGTTGTCCTTGGCTTCTTATGATTATACCCAGTTGTTTTTTCCCTTATTATTTCTTTTCAAACTGTAGCTAAGGTTTGCCTTAATTGTTGAGTTTTTATTGTAAAATGCTGATAAAATATTTACAATTAAAATGAATTTCTTGAGCATTTGCAGCCAGGCAAAATACAATTGAGTCAACATTTAGGTAATACCTAGATCTTAAACCAGGCGCACTACAGGTTTAACCAACAAGTTGTGCAGAGTTTTGATAAATCTTTCTATTCTTCTCCAGACTTAACTACAGGCCAACATGGGACTTGAATCAAACTGAACCAGTGGCTGGAAACTACTTCCCTGTGAATGCCTTTATGGCAATCAAGGTTGTTTATTCTTCTTTAAATTAGCTTGCATTTTTCAGAGTAATGATATTTCTTTGCAAACATTAAAGCCCTATTGTTGCTAAAGTAGATTTTAAATTGAAATTGAAGTTTGTTACAGTAGATTTTGTAATGAAATTGAAGTTGTTACAGCAGATTTTGTAATGACATTGAAGTTGTTACAGTAGATTTTGTAATGAAATTGAAGTTGTTACAATAGATTTGATAATGTAGTTGAAGTTGTTACAATAGATTTGGTAATGGAGTTGAAGTTGTTACAATAGATTTGGTAATGGAGTTGAAGTTGTTACAATAGATTTTGAAATAAAATTGAAGCAAAATGGGTAGCAGTTTTTCTTACATTCTAATTTTCTAATTTTGGATTATGACAATGTTATATATCATGGAATTTTCTTTCGATAAATTTTGTTTGCAGAGACATTTAGAAACCCTAATTTATTCACACCTTTATGCCCCATCCTAATCATATGAACAAATGTTATATCTGTCCAATTGTTTTTTTGTGTCTTTGCCTCAGAGTGGAGATGGAAAATATCAGATGACAGTTCTCACAGACAGGTCCCAAGGGGGTGTCAGCCTCAATGATGGAGATTTGGAACTCATGGTCAGTTTGTACATAGTTCCCATATTGATAGTGTTGTAGGAATAGTCACACTATTCTATCATTTGTTAGTAGTTATTATACCTGGTGTGGTGACATGATAAAACAGAGTGATTATTTCTATGACTTGTACTATTATTTATTCTGTAGACCATTATCGTATTTTACGGACAATAAGGCGCTCCCAACTATAAGACGCACCTTAATTTTTAAGCAATTTTTTTAAAAAGTAACAATGTTTTACCATTTTTAATATTAGATTATGATAGGCTAGACAGTTTTCTGGGTTTGTGATGGCGGGGCGGGAGGGAGACAGTATTAGCAAGCTAGTGAAACCCGGCAACTCATGTTCGTCACACCTGTGCACTGCTGCTGCCAGTTGAATCCAATGTTGCCAGATAGAGATAGGTTTCCCGCAGCATCGAATGTATGGCCATTTTTAAGACTAGCAGGAATTTTTAATCAAACACTGGACATTTATGTTAATTATGAGTATAAGACGCACCTGAATTTTGGAGGCAATTTTTCTAAGAAAAAAGTGCGTCTGATAGTCCGTAAAATACGGTATGTAACTTTTTGCTGCTCTTCTTGTTTTGTTTAAGGGGAGCTGAGAAATCGACATAAAAATAAATTATTGAGTATTTCTGGGTTTTGGTATATTTGGTGTCTAAAACCTTTTTTGAAAAATTGAAATAGCTTTTTAAAAGTTATTAAAAGATTTTAGAAAATATTGTAAATGTTATTTGCTAATCCTATAAATGGGTATTAAGTCAGTTTTGAGCAAATATACATTGTTTTTATTGATTCGTTTTATGTAGTTAGAATTGTCGAAACCACCTCATATTTGGTATCAATAGAAAGCTGGATTTTTCAGGATTTAGATAAATATAGCCTCCCATTACTACAAAAGTTATCAAAAACTCAACTGATGTTATATCATGTTCAAAAGTTTTGTTTTCCTGACATACGTAAGGGGCCTCTGCATTTCTTATGCAACAATAGGGAACTTAAGATTTTAGATTTTTTACCCGCACCTCTCCTTAAGTATTTTTTTTAAGCCTAAAAATTTAAACATATTTTAATGAAGCCAGTGCAGTTATTCACTACTTAATTAAATTAGTTATCTTTGAAGATATAATAAAAGGAATAGCTATCAGCTATTGGCACCACTGATTACTGAAATCTCCACAGGCTACATTTTAAAAATACATTTCTCAGTTTATTAATTCTTTACTCTGTGACACAACAAATAATTTTGTTAAGAATAATTTTCATTCACTTTTTTTATGTTAATATTTTGATCCACATCTTTCTGTTTACATCAGACTTCATTCCTGCTTTCTTTTTCTTTGACTGTTTTTCACCAGGTTCACCGTCGTTTGCTGAATGATGACGGCAAAGGGGTGGGTGAAGCCCTCAATGAACCAGGCACTGACGGGAATGGCCTCATTGTCAAAGGTGGGCATCAGTTGATGAAGGGGGTTTACCATTAATGAATTTTAAAGAAAACTGATATCTGACAATTTTAGGGACTACACTTTAGTCACCCATTTTAAAATACTTCACTGCCTTTTTTTTTTTTTTTTTTTTTACAGAAACCTGCAGCTGTTTTAAAAAAAAAACAAACAAAAAAAACAGCTACTAAACTCATGTTCTAACTGAATGCATCCGACATGTGCAACTCTACAAATAAACAATATAAGTGTCATTCAATAATGATGGGCTAATAATAATAATAATAATAATAATAATTCAATGTTTGTTATGAATCATCTCAGGTATACACTACCTCCTTTTTGACACGGTTCAAAACTCAGCCAGCATTTACAGACCTCTTGCCCAAGAGATCTTCCTCCAGCCCCAAGTGACATTTTCTGACCTGAATGTTGACCCTGCCAGCTATGTTCAGAAATTCAGGACTAAGGTGTGTGGGGTTATATTTCTTATTAAAATTATTGCAGAACTTCAAGGGGAAAGCTGTTTATATTAAACTAAATAATATGTAAACATGCCGTTGTGCTTTTTCCTTTCTGGTTCAATTTTATATTCTGGTTTCTGTTCAAAGTGGTCTGGTCTGGCAAACAGCTTACCAAAGAATGTCCATTTGCTGACACTGGATCAGTTCCGTCACAACGGACCAGTTCCCTCCCCTGCTGGGTCAGTTCCTTACCTCATCAGATTTGAACACTTTTATGAAAATGGAGAGGATCCGGTTTTATCAGCTCCAGTAACCTTTGACATCCAAGTATGTTACCTCTTGTTATAATTGGTGGGATTTGTTAACCTCTAACTATTATTAACTAAGGTGTAACTTGTATTTATTTTAATCTCTTTTTATTTTAAGTTGAAGCTGTACAATTTTAAAATAAAAACTTTTTTCTATTCTCTTGTCAGTTTCATTACAATAAACTTGGATGATTTAAAATGTTCTCTAAATCAAGTGTTAACTTTAGAGCCAGTAATCTTTATTTCTCTATCTGTTGAAGGATATTTTCACCCCTTTCAAACTCACTGATGTTTATGAACTTGCCCTTGGTGCCAACATTCCAATCGATCAAGTTCAGAGGCTTAAATGGAATACAGAATCATCAGAGACAAGTTAGTGATTAAATTACTTTGTTATCGATAATATTACATTTCAATTCTCTAATTAAGATTCTTCATAAAAATTTTTTTTAGAGCAAATTCAGGTCTCCAAATTGTAATATTAACCCTTTCAGTCGTGTTAGGGCCTAATCCTGCTGTAAACAACATGCCATTTTCAACGTTGCCTAGTTATTAATTAAGGCGTTAAAAAGAGCCTATTTATAAACAGTTAGTGTTTGGTGGCTGTGTGCTTGATTTTATGTTGCTTTTATATTTTTTTTTAAATAGTTCTTTTTAGATTGATTCAAACTGAAGTACATGACTGTTATTGTTGGTGGTCATGAGTTTAATGCAGAATTAGATGCAAAGTTAGATGCAGAATTAGATGCAAAGTTAGATGCAGAATTAGATGCAAAGTTAGATGCAGAATTAGATGCAAAGTTAGATGCAAAGTTAGATGCAGAATTAGATGCAAAGTTAGATGCAGAATTAGATGCAAAGTTAGATGCAGAAGTAGATGCAAAGTTAGATGCAGAATTAGATGCAAAGTTAGATGCAGAATTAGATGCAAAGTTAGATGCAGATGGAAATAAGAGTCATGTTGATATTGAATTGTTGATTTCCCAGAAGCGTCAGAAGATGAACACAATGAGGATAGATCTGACTGCTCTAACCCATTGTGTTCAGCTGACATGGAACAACTTTAGGTGTAACTGGTCCTAATGTAGATTTATTTTAAGTTCAATTTAATCCTTTCTTTACAAGTATCAGTAGCTCATTTTATGACTGGATAAAAGACTGATTTTAAATATATATTTAAAGTCAGCAACTTATTATCCAAATAGAGCTATTTCCCTTTTGGTGGTCGCTCCCAAGTTATGTCAAGCTGTGACGTCACGCATTTTAAAAAAAATCTAAAATTTTCTAATATTGAAAAATCATAATTCAAATAGTTTTAAATTAATTTGAGGTCAAAACTCTTATTGAAAAAACGTAAAAAATTGTGTGGAGTGATAAAGAATTTGTGACACTTTATGACAAGGGAGAGAGAGGGGGGTTCTGTAAATTTCATTTTTTGTGTGACGTAATTTGCGAATGATCCCTTGCTTGGTACTGAAGGTAAGGTAATTCAAAATGTGCCGTAACATACTGAAAGGGTTAATTAAAAAAAAAATTTTTTTACCCAACATGTAAAGTGAATTTTTTTTTCAAAAGTTGATCAAAGGATCAAAGTTTCTCTTTCAGAAACTTTAACAATTTATAAATAATTGATCAGAAGCTTATTGTTTTCCTTCTTTGTTTTCTCTTTTGTTATTATCTGGAGATGTTTGATTTACACACTCTCCTCTATTATTCAATAATGTAAAATTCTTGTTAATTCCCCCTTTTCAAATCATCAAACTAATATTTCTCTGTTTAAAATTTTACACCTTTTAATAGTAAAATTCCATGAAATTAAAACTTTTTTATTTCCAGACATTTGTTCAATAATTTCTTAAAATCTCTTAATGACCAGACATTTGTTCAATTATTTATTTAACAACTTACCCTGACTTGCATTCTCTTTCTTTCTGCAGGTGCCACCCTACACAAACACCTTTCTGGTACAACAGTTACACTCAAGCCCATGCAAATAGTAACTCTTCAAGCTAACATTTTTCTCTAAGAATGATGTTGTGGGGTTTCAGAAAGCTTTTTCTTGAATATATTTGACATCTGACAATTGTGATGTCTAATTAAAACTTTTTTTTTCCATTTAATATTTTTTATTTGCCAAAAAATATTTTTCTATTTTAGACGCTTAGTTAAACATTAAATTTTGAATAATCTAAAAAGGATATTTTTGAGGGTCTTAAGTTATAAATACATTTTCTAGCCCATGAGATTGAAATTGGCTACATTGTACATTAATTCTAATATTCAATATTTTAGGCGTTCCTTATTGCACAATCTGGTATTCTAGCTTTCCGTGAATATTGATTTGCTTTATGGATCAATCTAATGGTTTGTACTATAAAATCAAACTCAGCATAAATTTGTGTGTTTAATTTCATTATTCATGTTTTCAATACATGTACTCTAAACATGCATTCCGAGTCTTTCATGAGAAAACATATGTGAACTCTTATACTCTATTATATATCAGCCAGATTGTCTAGGAACTAGAGCTTTATCTGACTTAGACTTTGGTTTAAGAGTATATTACTTCTAGATGTGTTTTGTAATTTTACACTTATTCAAGTGGTATTTTAAAACTGTCACAGATTTAACTCTGAAATAATTGAAACTATTCATAATTGTCTTAATATTTTCTAGAAAGATACGATTAAATTTTAAATTAAAATAAATTAAATAAACTAAATGTTTGGGACTGTTACACCAGAATATTTTCTATTTTAAATTTTAAATGCTAAGTGTATTGATCAGAGGAACAAACTTCATTCCTCTGCAGTAGTGTTGTGTTGAATGCATAAAGTAAGTGATTTTTACTTTTTTGAGTATTCCTTTCCTTATTACAGAGCAGCTTAATGTTTTCATTTGATTTACATATTTTGTTATTCATTATACAGAGTATGTAAATGAAATTCTTTTTCTATTTTGGTTAAAAAATTTTCCGAATTATTTTAAGTTCAGCGTTGACATTTAACAGTTATTTCCTGATGTTAGATAATGTCTGGATGGATCCGGTAAAATTGTTTTTGTATTATAACCAGCAGGCTGGGGCAGGCTTAATTGATTAATGGGGAATAGCTTAGACGTCATTATTTATACAGTAATTTTATGTTTTCCCAAGCAAATTGAGGAATTTTAAAACTATTTTTTTTAAAAACATTTCACCATAAATAAACTTAATTTTGTGAACACATTTTATCAAAGACATCTAGATTTTGTGTGTTGACTTTGTACAGAACTATTCTATTTATTAAACAAAATGGAAATTGAGGGGTTATATTTTTAAAATCAACTGCACTCTTCCTAAAACTGTGAGCCAACTTTACAGGAAGGTTTGGTCACATGATGTTGCATACAAAAAAATTAAACATTTCAAATTAAAAGCTCAATAGGTTTATTGTCAATTATTTAAGTACTTACTTCCTTCCAAAAGCAACTCTAATGGACTGGCTAAAATTCTTAAAACATCAGGATAATTAAATTCTGTATACATAAATAATATCCAATATAACCCTAAAATTACAAAGTCTGCTGATTGATAGTCAATGGAAAAAAAAAAAAATATATCAATTAAGGTGTGCTTTCTCTCAACTTTGACACTAAGATGTGTAGCCTCATTTTAAATTCAGGTTCTAATAATCCATTATTAGAAGTCATTTAAAAAAAAATAAATTTACCTTTCAAAGAACGCCTTTGTTTGGCAAGAACAGAACAATGATCACATTGAGATTATTAACTGTACATTTATTGCACCATGTTCAAAACATTCTATTAAAGTGATGCACATTTAAAAAAAATTTTTTTTTACCTACAAGCATAATAGCTAATGGACAGTAGATGAAGCTGTAACAATCCTAATGACTAGAGATATTTCTTAATGTAATGATAGCATCTTAAAACATCTTTAATCACTTTAGCTGTCTATCAATTTACATCTAAAAGGTTGTTAGAAGATATCATAAAACGGTGCTATTTTTCCTACAGCTGGCTCGGGATCACACTTTGCTTATGATTATATGAGTAATAAATATAATTTTTGTATTGCACACTTCTATGAATTTCCCAATCACTTAATGGCAGGTCAAACATAAGCAACTAATGGTCTCTGCTGTTTGGTATGTTTCTTGATGGAAGCCTGCCAGCCGTGTGTCTCTAATGTCTCATCCAGCTCATTCAGGACACGACCAATTTCAGTGCTGTAGGACCTAATGCTGTCCACACCATGGCTGAGAGTATCTCGGTGTTCACTGAATGGCTGGTGATTGTCAAGATTTTTTGAATGGCTGGAAGGTTCTGCCGCTCTCTGAGAATCATCTCTGACTAAATGTGCATCTTTGATTGATGTAATTTCTGATGATGTCACCATAACTCCTGTCAGGGGCTCAATCACAGAAGTGCTTTTTACCTTTGAGTTATCTTTGATTCCATGCTGGCCCTGGTTTGCATCTGACACTGTAATTGAAGTGAGTGCAGAAGAATCCATGGCAGCTTTTTTGTTGAATAGCGTACCATTTAGTCTGTCTTCCTTGTGTTGGGAATCTGTCCTCACATCTTGTAATGCCACACCATTAGTTTTGTTCCCGTTGACGTAAATTGTAGTTTTTGCTTTGTTTTTCTGATCCCGTGGTGCCGGAATAGGTGCATTCCCATTTAATGGGGACTTCTCTCCGATTTCTATAGAAGGGTTTTGATGATGTTGTGAAGCGCTTTTAAGTGTTGAAGAAGACATCAAGTCTCTCTGTGAAGAACCCACGGAAGATGATCTTTTACTGTGACCAACAGATGCGGCAGATGTTCTTTTGGTGACATGCGGGTTGAATTGATTTTGATGTGAAGACTGAGGTGAACGATGGTCTCCATTTGCAGTGGAATAGTTGCTGGCGTTTTGTTGAATAGCTGTCACTACAGAAACTTGTTTTTGCTGTTGGCTGGGAGCTACCATTGAAGGAGGTAATGGTGGAGCTGGTGGGGCTCTTTGACCTCCTGGTGAGGTTCTTTGCTCTTCTGGGGCTCCTCTTCTTCTGATGTTGTGCATACGTTGAAAATTGGAATTCTGATTAATTGTTCCATTTTTATTATTGAGTGAGACTCCACCAGTGTTTGAATCTGATGGTGAAGAGTCTGTGTCAATATTTCCATTGCCAATGTGGTACTGGCTTTTTGCAAATTGTCCGTTTTCTTGTTGAGCATCATAATCTGGAGTAGGGGTGCTTGGTTTTCTGTTGCTTTTCTGATAACCTTGACGACCATCGTTAGGATAGAGTTGAATCCTAGACAGCTGGGGATTTAGGATTTCTTGGTTAAGCCAGTGCAGATATCCCAACTCATCATTCTCAGGGGCACTTAGAGCTCTTGGAGTGTAGACCTTGAAATTTTTTGAATCGCTAGCTGAGTTATTATTAAGACCATTTCCTCTCATGATGGTTCCTGTTTCCTTCTCGACTCCTCCATTCAGATAGGAATTCTGTTTGTTGTCGTCATCCCAGTAATTCCCGGTCAGTGGGTCACCATCCTGATAATCAACGCTTACACCACTGTCAAAATGCCCACCTTTGTCATCCTTTCTGTGGCCAACTCCTTTTCTCCTCTCCTGCCCTCTATGTCCGCTCTCCCCATCATCTCGACCTGCATTTGCTGCAAAATTTCCTTGCCTCAGCATCCAATTCATCTCCTCATTTCTTCCATTTAAACCCTCATACTGTTTGCCAGTCTGACTCTGAGACTCACTCACTTCACTGGAAAAAGATATTCTCTTTGCTAAATGCTTGGTTTTTTCTCTGGGGGGGTAAGGATCTCGTGGGTCGGTAGCACCCCTGGGTGTCTCTTGTGGGCTAAAGTTTTCAGAGTCTTGTAATGGTGGGTCAGTTATGGAGCTGTCGTTGGAAGGTCTCGGGGGATGGACCTCTATTTGTACAATCTGACTGGAGTTTCTTGAGGATGTTTGCTTGGGGAAGTATAATGCTGGGTCTGAATCTCTTTTGATATCCTGTAGCAAATGGAATTATTATGAACACATAAAAGAATAAAAATTTTATAGACAGAAAAATTATTAACAAGATTGCAATTAACATGAAACATGACACTCTAAACAATGGTTGGCCCAAGAATTTCATTAGGTACATTCAATATTCCTCATTATTAATTAAAATAATTACTTTAATAAATTTATTATATGTATATCACATATAAAATACTCCAACAATATTACTGTTAGAAAACTGTTAAGCCCTACTTATGTAGTTTGTAACAGGATCACACCTACAGAATTATTTGATTAACTCACCCGATATTTGATGTATTCCTTTAAAATGTTGACATGAGAATTAATACCATTTTCAGACTCCTTGAACGGGTCTGAAATGATAATTTAAATAACAGTGTACTTACAATTTCTTGTATTAATGGCCTCCATCCATTTTGTCCATTTAGTCCTTGGGGGTCAGGAAAATCATCAATTTTTGCAAGTTGTGTGCCTGCATTAAATCAATAATGTATTCAATAATAGCACTATGTGCCACTGGTGAGCATTAAATTAAATTGCCATAGTTGACATCAAAGCCAAAAACAAAGGCACACCATCAAATGTTTTTTCTCTCCTTAAAAAAATAAAAATCACAATAAAATAAAAGGACATAGGTCACCCTAATCAAAATTAAAAGTTCAAGAGAAACCAAAAATGTTCGTCCAGAGTTTGCTACTAATCATATTGGTAAATTTCTCTCACTGTAAATGGGTCCAAAGTGCTGGTCATAAATAAATTCAGTGAGAGCACTTCCTGCGTGGTTTGACTTCAAGTCAGCCTGTGGACGCAGAATTTAGAATATTATTGCAGGTTGAATGACACTATGAATATTTATGCATTAAATTACCGATTCTGAGGACGAAATTGGAAAGTTGAATTTAAAAGACAGAATAACATTAAATTCAGATATTGAACAATTGGATATTTCAGTTTTAAATAAAAAAAACATATGGGTGTTAATGTTACTTTACTTTGACTTATAAAGGAAGACAAACATTGCTCAACTATAAGTAATGGAAAATAATTGATACAAGCCATGAGTGAATTACACATAACTTGTTGTAAATTGGCTTACCTTTATCTTTCGTAGCAGTGAATCTACCTACAACATGAAGGAATATACAAGAGTTTTTGTTGTTGAGAATTCTAGAAACACTAATAAATTGTTAGAAAAGGTAAATTTTTAAATCTTATTAACTATTTCTCATGATGAATATCTATAGAAAAAATAATTATCTTTTATTATGGCTATTTAAGGGTACAGGTGTGTTTAAATGAAAATTTTTTAAATATATTTATAATTAGACTTAATTGAGCTTTACAATTTTTGTTACACTTTTATTACTTACATCAATGTAACGCAGCTTCCACTCCAGTATTTCTTTTTTTAAATCATCATATTCAAGTCCAACTCCTTGTGCACCCTGAAAAAAAAATGTGTGCATTTTAATGACAAAATCACCTGTTACAAGGAAATAATTAAAAATAGGAAATACAAATTTGATGATTCTAGTAAAAAAATTATGCTAACAGGGAAAAGAACTATTCTTTTGCTTTTAGTGTTTCTATTCAACATGTGGAAAATGAAATCTGTGAATTAGTTGAGGTTTTATATGCTCAATTTCCTACAATTAAAAAGTAATATTTAGACAAAACTAAATTTACCATCTGATTTGTTTCATTAAATTATACTGTACGGAATAATGTCCAGGGGTACTGCGATCAAAGCTGTAGGCCTATATATCGTACTGTACCTCATGTATCCGATTCCAGTCCAGGCCTGCTTCTTCCATCTCATACTGTAGGTAGACTCTCATATTAGCAGATTTGCATAAGTTAAGAAGGGAATTTAGTAATCTTAAACAACTGACCTGTGTGATAAAAACAATTTCAGTGCAACTAACTAAACTTGAAGCAAGTGAGGGCAGCATTACTTAATGGCTTTACCAATAAAAAGTATTATAAAACCTTGCTGCATTTATGGACAAATAATTTCTATGCCTAAAGACTTTCTTACCTAAAGTAAACCCTAAATGCTTTACTTAGATGTTGGCTCAACATTATGAAGTCATAATAAGACACTACCTGAAAGAGTACATGGGAAACACCTCGTGTGTACATCATGTTGATGAGCATCTTGAAGCGTGTACCCTCAGCATATTGAATTCTCATTGAGGTAAAAGCATCGAGGACTTTGTCTACTGAAGAAGGCCCAGTGAGAATTAATGTCAAGATCTAAAAAGGAAATAATAAAAATGATATCAAAGTGTTGATGAGCACTCTGTGAAGCCAAAAGATTTGGATTGAATGTAGATGAAAGTTAAATGTTTTATTTTTCGTATTAATTTTAACAATATTTTCTCCACAGACTTTCTATGCCTAATGCGTTTTAAGAAATTTTGAATTATTTTCTATCTTTTAGTGTTTTAACTAGCCTTTGATAGAAAGTATTTTTTTTTTAAATTAAAATTTTTACTTTTTTTTCTTCTAATTTTTGGTATTAAAATTTAATATTTAAATTATAGACAAAATTAGAATTATTTACTTTTTTAATGGTTGAAAGCTTAAACAATACCAGTTGAAGTCACCTAGCTCATTATTTGGGCATGAAACTAAAAACTGAGCTCATCCATCGACTCATTCACACAACCACAAAGAGACACTATCAACCATGGGAATTAGAGCGACAGTTTCAATCCATCTTGGTCACCCAGAAGCAGACGCCATGTCACTTGCAACTAGACAAATAACACCTTTGAGGTGACCACTTCACAAGAAAATGATTAACTGAGCAAAAATATCACTTGCCTAATCATACAAAAATAACGCTCCGTCCACACATACACCCACAAGATGGAAATGCAAGTAGAAGTAGAAAGAAAGTCTATTCAAATAAAAAGTACAGTTGTAAAAGATGTTTCAACAGCCAAGGGTATTTGTCAATTATAGTAATGTGAGTTTTTTTTTTTCAAATATAAAATCATGGAATTTGGATTCTAAAGTATGCACAGGCACAGATGTATGTTGTCGAATCACTCTCACAACGTCATGATGGGAAATCATCCAACACACTGTCCTCTCTATATTCCTAGTTCTCCCCTCCATCACTCCAGTGAATGCCCCACCTCTAGCACTGTAATTCTTGATCTGGAATAGTTGCTCAGAAGACAGGATACGACAGTGTAAAGTCCAGTATTGTGTTCCAACAGTTCCTCCACAGCACCCTGGTCAAAATGGATTTGATCACTTAAATTATATAATCTCATATAAAACAAGATCTAAAAACTATATTGTGTTTGCTTGTAGTTTCCCCCCCCCCCAGAGAAAATTATTTTTAATGCAATCCATTAAAAAATTTAAAAAAAAACAATCCCATTTTTACTTTTGAAAAAAAAAAAAAAACAAGATCTAAAAATTATATTGTGTTTGCTTGTAGTTTCCCCCCCCCCCAGAGAAAATTATTTTTAATGCAATCCATTAAAAAATTTAAAAAAAAACAATCCCAGTTTTACTATTGAAAAAAAAAAAAGGATTGAATGATTTAATAGGAGCAAACAATTTGAGGCTTTTGGTCCACGAAATAAAATTGATTTAACTAAATAGCATCTCATGTCATGTTAGGCTTACTCACCCTTATCCTGAGTGTGTATTTAATGCACAGCAAACAGTCATGTTCATCAACCTAAAAAAGTCAAATCTTGCTTTCATTGCACTTTACCAATGTTTGATTTATAGAAATGTTAAATCCACCCATAGTTAGACCGATAAATGCATGGAAGTTAATTGAAATTCATGTAACCTAGGTTGAGCCGAGGAAAAAGCTTCACCCAGGATGGAAAAAAATGTCTGCCAGATTTAGTCCAGTAAAAAAAATGATTTTATCGCCCCTTGTCTTTGTGAAGTTTACAGGGTTTTATCCTTTGATTCACAATTAAGCCCTTTGTAAAAAACGATTTTGGTCCTGTAAACAATTTAAAATATGTTATAATTACATTTAGCCTACAATTTGAGAATAATAATTCTATTAAAAAAGCCATATGGCATACCTTACCATATTTTTCTTATATTCCTCCATACGTAGCGTTCCTTTTGGGGTTGACCTGGGGAAAGCTCCAACGGGGTTGGAAGACAAAACTTGGAGGTTTTTAAGTAGACACAGAAGTAGGCGAAGTCCATTGTTTGGGGCCTGAACGAACTCTTCTACAAAACTGTGGAGGTATAAAGAATAGTTTGTTAAAATAATTGAAAAGTAGATGCAAATATCATAAGATAAAAAAAATTTACTCAAACTCATATTCAAATAAGCCCCAACCCTAGGGTGACCAAATCATGAACTGGAAAAAACTGGACACACCCAAGGAGGTTTTGGGGAGGGTATGCCCTCCAGATAAAAAGGGGTTCGGCGGCATCCGCTGGAAACTATTTTTTGAAATATGCTTATTTAAACTATTATGAGACCCAGAAATCTTTTTAAATTTACCTTCACTTTTGTAATTTAGTTTAAACTCAGAGGCATATCATAAACGAAAACAATAATTTTGCAGTGAATAGTTATTTATTTATACATAATAGGCCTACAAAACAACAAATTACATGCAGCCATCACGCGAGCCCACATCACTACTGGTACTGGGTACTCAGCTAGCCAAAATATTTTAGATTAGGAAGTTTTAGTTATTTCTAGACCCGACGGACGACTCCCTGGACGGTGTGGGGAGGTAACGCAACACCTTTCCCCCGGACTGGAAGCAAAGCCGTTCTGACCCACGGAGAGCGGACTGCGAACGCTTTAAACGCAGCTTCTTCGGTCGTCCGGAGTCCTCCAGGTCAGGGGGGAGGTCCCTGGCGAGCTTCCGCGTGGTCGGGTACGTTGGACCGTGTGGGGGTGTGCCGGGTGGGGGGTATTAAGAGCTCACGCTCGACGACCCACCGACGCCATCTCCAAATGTGATATTATTAGTGATTTCAAAATGTGTTTACCTTTAGAAACGGAATATTTAGGCGTCCCGAGAGACTTTTTCGGGACACCGGTCACACTAGCCTAACCATAGTCCTAAATTCCTAATAAGGTTCAAAAGTCATTAAATAGTAATATCGTAAGATTTTAAATCCCACATAGCAAAACACATGCAGTAGCATTTTGTACTGGATTAAACATATACTAGAACATAGTTCTAAGTAGTTCTCGTGCACAACTTGCATAGATTACGTCAAGAGAGGTTAACGAACAGTCTATACCAACGTGCCCCACCCCTTTTTTTACACCGAGCATCACCTGAGCACCCAAATAGTTTTCATGTCCCCTTCCCCTTCATTTTTTTTTTTTTTTGCAAAGAGCTAAAAATTTCACTAAACAGCTGAAATTTGAATGTCCCTTTCTCAGCATCTTTCGGACACGGAAGGGCAAAA